CCTGAAGCCACCAGTACACATCCACGAGAATGGACTTTACAGTGTAGTAGGAGACGTCTTGTGTCCAGCAAGACACATCCTTAAAAAGTAGATGACTTTTTAAGGATTGTAATGTGGAAATTATACTTTTTTTGTGGAAAAAACATCAGACACACGTCAGTGTCATTACTGGACATCAGAGCATTTTGTTGTACAGTAAAAGTAAGACATACAAATTGCAATACCATAATGTAAAAAAATATCTAATTTCAGAAAAGTATTGGAAGCAAAAATTGGCAGCTGAGAGGCCTTTCTTGCAGTTGTATTAGATTAAGATTATTAATTCTTATTCATCAACACATTACAGCATCTTAATATTGTAGCTGGTCAGGTGAGGCTGTTTTTACTTGTTTATATATAATATAATATAGTAGTATAATATATAGTGCATTGTATTTTATAAGCTGATGAATGTAGTGAAGTAAAAACAGCAATATTTTCCTCTTCAGTGTTGTGGAGTAGAGGTATATAATATATATGATGTTTATAAATTCTAAGTACAAGTAGGGTAACCTCATACCTCATAGTAGGCTTCAGTGCTTGAGTGAATGTGTCTCCAACACTGCCAACACTTTATAATGAGGGCGCAAATCATATACTTAAATAATACTCATAACTCATGATTTAATGCATGAATTAATGCAGGACCACTAAAAAAGTTGCAATGGCTTTTTGTGATTAGTTTACACTTAATGGATCATCAGTTAAGGAATGTTAATTCATTGTTGCGGTACTGCATCAATGAATTGATATGCGACCAATTACATACATGGATTTCGTTGACATTAAAGTTTTTTTCAGGACTACATTTTCTCAGCCTCTGCTGTGCTATGCAAGCTGCACATTAGCCATATTTATATGAGAACAGACATAATATTTTTGACACATTTACAATATAGTGTATATATTGTATACTGTATACTGTGTTTGTGTTGTTGAAAGCAGTGGAGCTTAACCATGCTTGATCATTCTCCTCTAATATGTCCATTATGTTGCAAATGTGGCAAATAATATGGAAACCTGCCAATGTAAAAGGAAAAAAGTCACATTGGCAGAAATGGGGTTCCATAAAAATACCAGTGGGATTATTCTCATAGACTTATGAAGCATTTTTTTAAATAAAGAGGCTGAGCAAATGCATGGGCCTGAACTATACTTCTATGGAATCCTGCTAATTTGGTCGTATATCAATTAATGTATGAATTAACATCCCTTAACTAATCACAAAAAAGTCACTATACGTCCTGCATTAACTCATGCATTAAATCATAATGAGACATGCATGATTTGTACCCTATTATAAAGCGTTACCCATATATATCAACCCTGCACGTTCAGTGTGAACATAATGAGTTACACATCACTATTTTTACCTCTCAGGGTTGCCGTAGTGTGTTGTAAAATTTAGCGCGAACTTTAATACCAACCGGAATACACCGAGGGGAAAGTGCAACCACATATACATCTGTCGCTATACTGACTCTTGCTGACAACACTTCAGTTATATACAGTCAGTGTTTTATAAAGTAACAGACATGAGCGCCATCGCTGTGGAAATGAAGCCGGCTGAGCCGATAGCGTTAGCGGTTTCTGGGTAACGAGCAAGCTAGCAACACGGAGAGCTGAGGAGTATCAACACAGCAGTCACGTCGAGGAAACAGAGAAAATGGTGAGCTAGCCAAAGTATTCTTATTAATTTCATGACTGCGTGCCATGTGTTGACTACCAGCTCTAACTCTTTAATGTCAATTCTCTTTGTATAAACTAACTTACCAGAGAAGGAGTCTTGCACCAAGTCAGGTTGCTAAACGGAAGCAAGCAGGAGACTCCTGTGAAGATGAAGACTGGACATGTAGGACTGTAAGTAGACTAGCATGACTATTATTATACACACACAGCTGATACACACTATAGAGCTGACTGCAAACCACCCTATTGTTGTCATACACCAAACTTTGTTCTTAAATCTGTTAGTTAAATGTTTTCTTTGTTGCTGGCACATGCACAGAGCTAATATAACAGATAGATATTTCCTGAACCGTAAGCAACCACTCTTCTATTCGGGTTCATGTGAGTCACTTTGCAATGTTAATTTCTAGAGAATAGTGACTTTTAAAACAGGTGTATTTAGTGTAGAGCCTGATTTCAATGGAAGAAATTCGGCCCATATAGGGATTTTATTTTACTTTTAAAACAGTAGTGACTTTAAAGATACAAGAAGAATAAAATACACAAACCGTTAAACAGAAAGAGTGAAGAACCAGTTCTACTTGACAGTTATATTAAGTGTTATAATGATGGTGACATAATGTGGTTACTGCAGTTTAAAAGGGTATTTTAGGGGGGATTTCTTACGGCATTTGTTTTGTATTGTTGTTAGTATTGGAGAGGAGTATCATAATAATAATTATTAAAATAAAGATAATAATAGCAATGATGAACATGAGAATATTAATGATAGATGTATTGCAGAGGAAATTGTTACAATATAATATAATACAAAACAAAATGAAAATGTTTATACTACATGTGTTGAGAAAAGGAAAAATAGTAATGAGTGAAAAATGAATAAGTGATTTGTAATTGATCTATACTTTTATTAAATATCAATATAGTGATTTTTTTAATATGGATTTTGCACGGAAATGACTTTGCAAAGATACTCAGAAGACTGCCTGCTTAAACAAATACCTTTTATTAAAGAATATTTTAGTTAAATATTCTTTAACATGTTCAATACTTGAACATTACATGGTCATTGGACATTGCTGAGAGAGACTGCTGCTCTCTTACTCTGTGCAACTGTTACTGGCTAGTAATAAATATATATTATGTTACGATGTACAGAATAATGCACTTGAATCAATCAGTTCTGACATACTGTACCCCGCAGTCGTGTTCTAAAATGAGCAGCATAACACAGTGTATGTTTCTGTCTCATTAATTCAATAATAATAAACCGTTCCGGAAAACAGCATGTTACTAGCTAAGATAAACATGTGTATTAGATTGTGATGTGCATGGGAAAATGGAATTGTGTATGACTTTTCCCGGCATTATATATTTTGAATAAAAAACGCATATTAGTCAATCACTAATATCTATCTTTTCCCATGCCACCTGTTTGGAAAACAGTACAATTCAGAGAGTGAAAAATAATAATGAATGCGTATCAGTGTTGGTTAACATCAGTGTGGTTGGAACTAAAAATTTTATAATGTTTTTTCACAGGAGAAAAGAAGAAAAAGTGACGGTGAGATGAGAGAAAACCATATTTCTCCTTTCAGAAAGCCTCTGACACAGCTGAACAACTGGCCTGCGTGCATGGATGGTGACAAACATGTAAGCATTGTTGAGTACTATGGAATTCAATTTTTGCATAAATGTTGCATGTGAATACACTAATAGCTGTAATTTGATGCCATGATGGCTCACGTGTTTGAAATCCTTTCTACAGGAGGCATTTATTCGAAGTATCCTCTCCAAGCCATTTAAAATTCCAATTCCTAATTACACAGGTAACAATTCTCTTGTCACTGTGGCTTCTTTTTCATGTCTAGTGCAGGAGGTAAAGATTTACTTCCACTGATCTCTTGTTGAATTACCCACAGGATCTCTGGGAATTAGGGCACTTGGTCTAAAGCGTGCAGGAGTAAGGAGAGCGCTGCACGACCCTTTCGCAGAGGATGCTCTAGTTCTTTATGAGCCCCAAACTCTGAGCGCTCATGACCTGATCAAAGCTGACAAGTAGGTTCAAAACACACAGAATCTATTAACTATTTTATTCACAGTGACAATGTTTGATTGTTGGTTAAGGCTGTACTAGCCAAGTTTGTATGTTAAGAACTTCAAATAGGAGCAGGTCGAAGGTTGAAACTACTACTTAAGTGGGAGGTCCTTCTCTCCCCAGACACAGCACTCACTGCCTGCAGATCAGAAGACCATATTTATCTTGAGTCCTCACTTCCTGTGTAGGTTTCCCATAAGGGATGCCAATACCAGAAATGTAATATTCAATACCAATACCATTGAAAGTCGATGATTCTCAATACCAATTTGATACCACTGCGAAAAACAAAAGAGTCCATGTACTTCAGCATACACTCCTTTTATTAAAAACATTTGAACATTACAAACAACAACAACAGTGGCATGTACCCTTCAAGTAATAAATGAAAAGAAACAACTACTCAGCGTTCTCTTTTCTGTTGCTTGTTTGCTTTCCATTCTTTAGCTGATCGTCTGGTTTTCATATCAACTATCTGCCAATCAATATCAGCCTCATAATTCAGTTATAAAATATCGGTGCACCATGAAGTGTGGCATTGTCCGGTCATTTTGAGATTTGTATTGACTTCGACGTTAGGATAGGACCTTGCAGTTAATCAAATATTATCAAAATGGCAAAATAGTGCAGTGTGCAAATCGCAGAAGCTGCAACTTTTTGATAAAGGTAAAATGACAAACATAATTATTATAATGAAGTACTGTAGTTCTGAAGAGATGCCCTTTCTTAAATCTTGTTTTAAGAGATTTAAGAAAACATGTTAAATTCACATTCATAATGCGTAAATTTAATTTTGATGCAAAAATGATCACAATCATATTGCAATATCTGTCAAAATAGTTGTAATATGGTGGTTTACTATATCGTACAGCCCTAATTACGGAAGAGTCCTCTTCCTCCCACTTGCTCTGCAGGTGTATGAAGAGTATTTCCAACATGTGAAAACAACACTCAGGTTGTTGTTCTGAGTTTATTTGCAGAAACAGTTCTACTGGTTTTCTTTTTGACCAATTTGAGGCAGAGCTGCACTTGTCGCCGTCTTCAGCGTGTTGTAGTTCCAGTGGCCGCTGTGGCTCAGTGTACAGTACACATGTAGTGTAAAGTGCCGTGAGTGGTTGGAAGACTAGAAAGGTGCTATATAAGTACAGTCTGTTTACCATCTACCATTTTCCTCTGCCATTTAATAGTAGACTAGAATACTTGTAGGCGCATATGTTGTCCTGTCAGGTCCAGAGAAATTGAGTCCCTGGTACCTACTGTACTGTGATAAAGGAGTACCGTCACGTTTTCCGGACTTTGACATCGACTTGGCACTGAAGTGTCAGTTCTTGTGACATCCCTAGTGAGTACACAGAAATTGAAACAGCTGATTAACTGAGTGGTGTTTTTAAATGATTAATGTTGATCAGGTGTATGGATTTGTAGACTTGGCTTGTACAGCTTTAAGAAAATAACTTGATATCCTTCACTGGCATTTTTCTACATCAGTTCTTGGAGTTTTTGCAATAAAGGTAAATATTTGACCATTCTTTGCCCTGTCCAGAGAAAAACTACCAGTCCATGTTGTTGTGGATCCAGTTTTAGGAAAAGTGCTCAGACCCCATCAAAGAGAGGTGAACCCAAGATTTATTTCTTCTTCTTTACTTTATCATAATTAAGTGTAATATAATAGATAACAGTGTTAAACAGTAGCACTGTGGAATCTTAATGATAAAAACTTATTGAGAACATTGTTAGTTCTTGTACCTTGGACACAGAAGATTGTCAAAACACACATACTTTGTTTTTTCTGGAGCTTTCACTCAAGTCTCACAGTCTTCATCCCTGAGATGTGACGAGACCATGACATGCAGTTGAAACCTCCAAAAAAAACGAGTTAGTTAGTCAATAAATAAGATTTTCTTTTCTTCTAAATTAAAAATGGATGTCTTTGATTTCCTGAGGGGGTGAAGTTCCTGTGGGAGTGTGTGACGGGCAGACGCATCTCAGGATCGTACGGCTGCATCATGGCCGACGAGATGGGTCTGGGGAAGACTTTGCAGTGCATCACCCTCATGTGGACCCTGCTACGCCAAAGCCCTGACACCAAGCCAGAGATAGACAAAGCCATTGTGGTTTCACCATCCAGTCTGGTTCGCAACTGGTACAATGAAGTAGGAAAGTGGCTGGGAGGACGTGTCACCCCAGTGGCCATCGATGGAGGTTCAAAGGATGAGATCGATAGACAGCTAGGTGGTTACCTCTCCCTTCTGTCTCATTGTGAATATCCACATGGAAAACTGGTCATTTGATACCTCGTCATAGAGCAGTGTTGGTCAAGAAGAAACTTTAACCTCATTGTTGTGTTAGAGTAAACACTATAGAGGTCAGCTTGAAGGAGAAGGGCCGCAGACACAGACTTCTGCTTCATTCAGACAGAATTTTGCTAAAACAAAAATGTGTTGAAATCCTTTTTTTTCCACATCCATTAAATGTTTTCATACATACAAGGCATCCTATAATAGGATAATTACATCATTCAGTAATCAGGCCATTATCTGTGTCACCTGTACACATTGTTACACATTGCAGTGCCATCTCTTTGGTTAAATCAAAACAGCTGCCTCTGACGGCACCCACCTGTAAATCAAAGTGGCCATTGCCTTAAATTGTAAATGGTAAATGGACC